AAGGGGGGAAGAGAAAGGGGTGCTGAGCGGGTCGGGGGAAAGAGGAGGGGGAGGAGGCCGGCGGCAGGGCTGGGAGCAAGCGCCAGCCTCTCGTGTCCTGGGTGAGTCCTGCAGCCCCCTGGGGCCGGGCTCCTGCCTCCCACCGGAGCAGGTTTGGCCCCGGTCTGGAGCTTGGAAACTCCCCGGCTGGAGCTGCTTTAGCCTGAGGTCCCAATTTTGGGACTAGCCAGGGCAGAGGACACCCTCTTCCCCAGGCTGGCAGCGTGCACGTTGTGCCCCGAAGCGTGTGAATTCATAACCTTGCTTGTGCCCCGGCTGCTCTAGCTGAGCCTTTCCCGTCCCCGCGCGTGGTGCACCCTTCTGAAACCCTGTTTTATGCGATGTTAAAAATAGCACCTCTTATTTGTGTCCGTGCACCCTCGTGAAGCGTTTGGGATAAACGGGGGGAGCAGAGCCGAGAGGAGCACGAGCTCTGGGCTGGTCGATGCAACCCGGCATTAACGTGCTTCGCCGGCGCTGCCTGGAGGCTGCGACTTGGAGCTGATGCTTGTGGCTATAGCGAAGGGTGGCAAGGCAGATACCTCGGGTGCTGGGTGCTCTGGTGCTCCTACAAATCTCTTCTGGGTGCGTGGGGCGCTGCCCAGGGGAAGGCGGTGGGACAGCGGAGTTACAGCTGGGCCGTGGAGCTGCTTTGAGACTCAGTTTCCCCATCAGCAAAAGGGATCGAAGATGATGACCTTGCTAAACTGCTTGGAGAGTTGTGGGGGGGGGAAAGGTTATGATTTGACTTGCTGGGGGAAAAGTACCCCTTTGGTCAGACAAGCGCTGCTCACCTACCGCAAGCTGGCTGCAGCGTTGCAAGAGCTGTTGCTCGCTGCCGTTGCATGCGTGCTTCCGCAGTGTAATTTTAGCATCTAATCCTCCCCAGGTAAATCCTCCGTTTGTTGCACACCGTGAAAATCCATCGACTGCAAAGGCAAGAGGTTTTATGCTGCCCTCCCCCAGCGCGCACGCCGTCCGCCGGGATCGGCGCGGGCTGCGCGGCACCTCCTGCCTTACCGCGTCGCTAATGCGTGCCGCCAGGCGGAGCGCACAGGGTGACGCCGTGCGGGC